TTCGTTTATTTATGAAAGTGATGTGGCTCGTCTGTATTTCATCACGGCTTGTTATATTCTTTTCCATGATACACTTTAAATTTTATTTTGTAGATACTTTATTACTAACATTTTATCCTTACTTTAGATAAAATTAATTTTATTCGTTCTGAAAACTTTCTGTATCACTTGGCTATTAAGTAAGCAGATACTATTATTGCAAATTGCGAAACAAAAAAATATGGTGAAATTCTGAATTCGTTTAGCCAAACAGGAAATCCGTACGATCTGGTCGCCAAGACTCTCGTAAATGTTGGCTTTCGCATGAAATCGCGTAGAATATATCAACCCTTTGCAGACGACATTTCGCTTTATAAGGAAGTTGCCGGTAAGTTCCGAAGCATCCTCCAAGGGGATGAATTCTCTTGAGAACGCGACCGAAATTGAGAAGAAAGATGAAGGGTAGGAAAGGGGACGAAGCTAGGACGAAGTAAGGAAAAACGCGTGTGTCAATGTAAAACACGATTACCAAATGCATGCAAAATGAAAACTAAAATTAGTAAGAGCTAAAAAAATTTCAAGAGGCATCAATTTTGAATTACACTCAAAGATCTAGGAAAGTAAGTTCTCTTCGAAGGGTTATTCAATTTTGAAATAAAAAGTCTGGATAAGAATGTAATTAACTTGGCGATGATAAATCATGAGAGAAATCATGCATGAGGATTTATCGAGCAGAGAATGTTTGGAAAAGAAAGGCGAACGAGCGAATACTTTGGAAATGGCGGGGGTGTTTCGGTGAGAATTGACTTCGGTGAATGATGAGACTCGGGGGAGAAAACGGCAGGGAGGGTCGAAATAAAAAGAATCGAGAACAAAGAGACGAAACAGAAAAATAAAGATTGGCAAAAGTGCCTCTCCTGAATTTGGCATCTGTGTTTTATTGTGCCACCCTGCGATCTCGAAGACAAAACGACTGTGTTCCATTCACTTTTGCGAGCAAATGAAGTTTCATAATAAGCTTGATCCCCTGCTTCTTTAAGAAAACACTACTTTTTATCAAGATTTCTTTGTTTTTAAATAAAAGTCTCCACTGCTGAATTGTTTCAAAGGGGTAGCTGGTACTTTCGGAAATTTAAGAAACAATTGGTTCGTTTCAGGAAAATTAAACAATAAAATTCAAGGAACTTTCTTAGACTCACCCCAAAAAATTGTAATAAGCAAAGGGTTGATATTCCACATTATTAAATACTTTTGACGTCATTCGACGAGTATCGCTGCAAAAACATTAAAAAATACGCGAACTAAAGCCACGAGCAAAGTTCCAAAGTTCCATGTAATAGAATAAAAGGATCCTGCACAATAAGCTTCTTTGTTCATCGTTTCTTTTACACAGGAGGCGTTATTTTTTTTTCTTGCAAAGGAGTTGCGGCTGCGTTTCCAAACGTTCCCAGAGGAATCGATTCTCCCGTAGGACGAAACACCGTCGATAGTACAAAGAGGAAAGAAGAGAAACGGAAGAAAGGTAGCGAACGAGCGGAAGTAAAGATTAGACGGCGGTAGAGGAAGGATGGAAAGCGAGGCGAGGCAAAAACCACCCCTCGATACGCTTCTTCGACGGAGACATTTTAATTTACGTCCCCTTCGGCACGATATCGCATCGAATTCCATTTCTACGCGGCCTATCTTCATCGTTGTGTCTTCTGGCAGAAGAATCGGCCCAAGGAGCGTTTCAAGTTTCGCATTATTGTCCCGCCGATCGTCGTTATCACCCTTTGTTTCATCCGCGGCTAATTAGCGACTGCTTCAACGAGAATCCTGAAAAACTTGACCGGTCTTTTGCAACCAGCACTTCGTCTGACTCGCATTGTTCCGATTCCAACAATGATTCTTCCAGTTTCGTGCCTTCTTCAAACTCCTCACCAATCATAAGAAACATAATTGCCCTTATGAACCAAATGCCCTTATGAACGAAAACATTTTATGTTTTTAATTATTTTAGAATTTTCTGTAAATAGATAATGGATTCTTCTTATTGTTAGAAGGGTGTCCCCTGATTTTCTCTATTAAAGAAGTAGGTCTTTTATCTTCTTTTCACAAATCTATCCTTGAAATGTACATACACCCCGATGATGGACCGAAAGTTAGTCGAATCAGGCTCGCCATTAACCGAATCAATATTTACCCGTCCTATTTTAGCCCCGGAAAATGGAAACGATGCTCTTAAGGATCTCTAGACATTTGTCTAAGGATTTCCGTGTACCAAGAATTGTAACATGAAGATAACATTCCAAATATCTGCCTTTGCCAAACATAACACATTTAACCGAAATCTCATGTCGCAAAACTTCGTTCCACGATTATTAATTCATTTTAACTCGAGTAATATCACTGCTCCGTCACCATAACAACCCCGTTTTAAAATCACTGAACGATCGCTACGAACGATAACAACGTCCACGAGCGAAGCATTAACGATTAATCGTTTAAAAGCTCGCCCTCCGGCGCTTCGACGCGGCCGTTAATGAGTGCTTTAATCAGTCCGGAGTGAGTTATAGCATTCTCGAGAGCATTTATTGAGAGCTCGTGTCGTTTCTTATTCACGACGATGTCTCGATCACCCTTAAAGTCGAGAGTGTTTAAAAACTTGCCGAAAATTTGAATTAAACTTTCTTCTTAGACAAACGGAATAAAATTTGAAGTATACAAAAAAATTTCCAAATTTTATCAATGAAAGGGTTAAATCCGACATTCGACGGAAAGGGAAGAGTGTGACTCGATTTGACGGTCATCCATCGTCTTGTCCATGTATCGGTGATTATCGCGCAATACATGCGGTGCAATAAAAGATCTGGAATTCGATTTATAGCGACGAAAGTGGCATTTTATTGGCACTATCGATCTTTTCAATCCCGGAGCCTCCCTGGCCGACTGTACTGTGCCGCTGATACCCGTCGAAATAAGAGGGATTCGGTGTAGCAGGTGTCGCGGATAAACTGACAAGGGTAAAATATAGTGTGTGTGCTCGCGCGCGTGCTACCTTAATGTATGTATAACCGTAGATAATTTATCTTTCTTTCATTTTCCTTTTTTCTTTCTTTCGTTCACGGTGATACGTTATCGGGTTAATACTTCATTTCACGCGCGGCTGTACATTTGCAGTTGAATCAGCTGCAGCTAATTATAAGTAATTTCTCCGTTTTAATTAGTAGCTGTTATAAATTACTCGACGCGTTACTTGACCGAATACGTCTGGCTAAATACCGAACACAGCAAGTAGTAAACAGTAATAATAGTATTAGGAGTAACGCAACGTAGTAAACACTAATAACAGTTGTAATAACGCAGAGTAGTAAACAGTAGTAACAGTAGTGGTTCCACTAAACGCTACAAGTACTATGTAACAGCTCTGAGAATTGCTTCGCGAAACACTTCTCGGTACAAATAGAAATGATTATAAATATCAAAATATTTGTAACGTTAGTTTGAAGTTCAGAAAATGTTTAGAAAATTTATGTGACGGTAGAGTGTACCGGTCGACGTGTTAAATTATCGAGAAGACCATCCAACCTTCCATCTCGGGCATGGAAGAGAAAATATGTATGGTTTCTGGGAAGAGAGGATTTTCTCGCAGAATAATTGACTGGCTGGCAAGTTGGACGTTCGTTCGAAAGGGCTCGAGGGGTGCAGCTTTAAGATCGAAGTCTGGGTGGCGGAGAATGAAGAACAATGGGGGAAGGATGAACGGGTATGAGAGCGGTTTAGGAAGCGAAGGGAGGATTCGAGCTTGTGTCATGGGTTCTCGGGCTTCTTGGTAGAAAGCCTAGCGAAAGATAGAAGGGTGAAGTAGCTCGAAGGGAGGCTAATAGAAATGAAGAGGCTGCCTGTCGTCGAGGCATAAAGTTGTAAACCGTACAGGTGCCACCACCGTCGTCAACGCTTTGCGATTTAACCGTGTAAAACGGAGACAACGTCGATCTATACCCATCAATGGTTTCCGTCTACCCGTTTAAGCGACACGAACAAAATCCATCCACTTGAATTGGATAGTTATCAAAATTTATCAAATAAAACGAGTGTATAATAAATAAAAAATTATTTGCTAATAAAATGAAGGTTTCAGGTAAATGGATTGTTTGAAATCTTCACTGAAAAAGTCAGTAAGTTAAACCTTTTTAGGAGCCTCCCGAAAATCGGCGATAAACGATGAAAGCTCTCAAAGGAACGCGCGGTATTCGAAACGACACCCTCGAATTCGCGAAGAGGGTGAATTCTCCCTGAAGAAACGGATAAAAAGGAAGCCTGCATTCCACGATTGCTGAATATCTGCTGTTTGTTTCTTCTGAATTCTGTCTTCGACATTCTTCAGATATTTCAACTCATGAATAATAAATACAATAGAAACTTTAAACTTTAATCTACAAAGCATCGATTTGATTTTTCTTATCTTTGGAATTGTATTTACTTCTCGAATAAATCCCTTTCGAAGGAAAACCGTCTATTCCTAACTCTTCATTCCACTCGACGATTCCTAAATTCTTATCGAGGAAGCATTCGTCGCAAGAATCTCTCGAAAAACGAGCTTCTCTCGACGATTCAGCCGACTGAAAATCGACATACGCGTTCACGGTCCCTTTTTATTTGTGCATACCGCGCAAAAATGGCCGAGACTTAAAAGATTTACGACTTTCTTCGCTTCCGACCGCTCCCTTTCCCGTTCTGCCCGTCTACATCTCGCCGACTTTCCTCCGCGACCCTCCGAGACGATCCTTAAGTTATGCAGATTTCGCGGATCGTACAGGAATTCCCGCCGAAAATTGAAATTTCATCCTCCTTTGTCTTCCGTCCGGAGGATCGGTCCCGAGACTAACCACCGCCAGAAATTGTCCCTCGGGATTACGTTCGCGTGGGAAACAATCGCGCGACGCGCCTTGACTTTCATTATCGAAAAAAGACACCACCACCGTCAGCCGGGGGGGAAACGCTCCGAGTTATGAATATTTTCCATGCTTTGATGTACTCACGTTAATGCACGCTCGAGACGACAGCAACGGATTACCTATACACCACTCTGCGCTACGTACCTGGAAAACAGAAATAACACAACGTTTTCAGCGTGCACCTAATGCAACATGCAAATTGTAATACCTTGGCTTCAACAGTCGAGGATATTGTTCGTTATATTTTTTTGTTGATTAAAAATCAAGTTTTCACGTTACTTTTAAAAATGTGTGTTTTTTAAAACCTGTTGAGGATACGTGGAAAGCAGGTTGCTAAGATAATCTTTAGTGAAAAAAGTAACTTTATTAACCCTTTATTGCATTCCGTTCTGAATGGGAAACTTAAATTTCAAATTTTTTATAGTAAATTAAGTAGACAATACTGAAGATTTTCAGTTATGTGCGAGAAATAGACGGTTTTCTAAAACCGTTTTATTTCAACAAAACCAATTCGCGTTAAAATGACTCTGAAAACTACCCCATTTTCATCATACGAGGGTTAGATAATTTTCCATGTTAATTCGAGGCTCTTATTCGAACGCGTTGACGGGCCGTGTCTTCCGAAACGTAAATCCAACTTTCCTAATTCAATCCGAGCGAGAGATCTAATTAAAAACTTGCAGGGAATTCATAGAACGTCGAATAGGAAGCGACGGCAACGTGTACGAAGAACGTCAACTGCGTGGGATCGTTTAAATTCGCGGCAAACAGAAAGTCCTGAACAGGCGTCTTCGCTCGCATAGCCTTTCGAGCAATTCCTGAGGAACACATCCTGCTGGAAAGTTTTCGCGATGCCGAGGACAAGAAACTCTTCGCCGATAATATACTCGGTTTAATCAAAGGGCGCATGTCGCGTGGTTGAAAGTACGACTCAATTTCAGATCCAAGATTGCTCCTGGTGGCAGCGTTTTACGAGATACGTATCAGCCTCGATCCTTCAACCTTCACCGTTTGCCAACTTTCTAGCTACGCTACACGCTTCCTACGGAGAAGCTAGATAAGTTCTCGAACGAGCCCTCAGGGCACGTGGCTTGTTCTCCCTTTTCTCGAGGAAAGGAAAAAGCCACCGGCTTGTTGCAGTTCGCTCGAAGGGGTTAACCAAGTTTGGTTAAGAGGGGTTGAAACGCGGATGACACGTTCCCATCGCTTCTGACGTAGGACCGCCTCCTTGACCCTTTTGCTAGTCGACGCACGACCTAATCGTCCTTAAAGACTCCTCGACGAATGATGAATGGCTGGTTTAACGAGGGTACCCACCCCCTCGAACCTTCGAAAATGTATCGGTTACCGGTCATTGATTTTAACCCTGTTGGAGTCGGGAACCGACTCGATTCCTGCGTCTGATAGAACGATCATCGTTTGAGGTTTCCTTCTGGAAGGAGCAGTTTAATGATATTATCCTTGGAATAATGAACTATTGATGCTTGGACGGTGTTTTAATTACGAAGAGTATTGTATGAAGAGAAGAAGCATTTCCATAACATAAGAAGATTGTATAAATGGTTATTCAGTGTCTCGTTGAAATAACACGCCGAAGAGTACAGTACTAAAGAGTACGTTAGAATATAAATTGCCTTCATTACTACTGAATACGCAAGTACCAAGCCTACTGCTATTGATTCCATCGGCGAAGAAGAGTTGGAATTGGCATCAGAAACCAGTCTCGGATACAGGTGTCTTATTGTCTGAATAGCCGGAGGGTCTCATTGTTTGGGCGTCCCAGATGTTAATTCCAGGTGTATCTGTACGAAACACGAAGCCCCTTTACAATCCACGTGAATGCGAAAGTAAATGAACCATCGAGATGAATGTGAAAAATTCTTGACGTGTTATCTATATTTTTTCAGTGCACCATAGAAACAGAAAATTTCTATAAATAATATCATTTAGGAAAAATCCAAGAAGAAAAGGAAACTACGATTGGCAGACAATTATTACAGAAAATGTATAAAGAAGAGGGGAAACGATTAAAGGCTGATCTGCTTATCAAATATTCGAGAGAAAGATGGAAATAAGCCGAGGTGGATTTCTTTTCGACGCTCCGAGACTTTCTTCTTTCTCTTTTTTTTTCCCCTTTTTTCACGGACCACGGCTCCGCAGCCGTGATTGCATTCAGGAAGGAAGCTCGAACGATGATTATGAATCACCGATTCGTGTAATCGCTGCCTCGTGGGACTCGGTTAAGAGTCGAGAGAGCTTGCCACGAAGACTTTGCTGGTCGTCATCGTTCGGCGAGCAACGTGGGAGGATACGGTACGGCGAATATCGCGATCCAAAGACAGAGGGCCCCGGGTTCAGCCGCAGGAAATGGAAGATCAATATGTACTCTCCTACTTTGCAGTGTCTTGTTACTTGGAGCAGACCCACGGTTACTCGCATACCCATTCGCCCATCCTGTGTATTCAAATTGAACGTTCCTGATGAAGAAAGCATGCCCGTTGCATGCCTCGTTTCACGGTTGCGACCACATTCTCGTGCTTCTACCCGCTTCGTGAGCTCGTGAAATCCTAAAGTACGCGGGGGTGAAATGTGTAATTTCGTCGCGTCAATTATTTACCTTGCCATCATACCATATCGTCGCTTCCAAATATTCCAATTTTCCAGAATATTATCCCAACGTCCACCCTCCACGATAAATAAATCGAATCTTTATTTATTTTTCAATTTGTCCATTGTACGATTTATGTAAATATAGATACAAAAAATATTTTTTCGATTCAGGACCAGACGAAAGAATACAATACTTCGATTCTTCTCTACGCAGCAAACGATGTATGCTCTTCACCCTCTATTCGAACGGAAAAAAATTCTCTGATCGAGCGTTTTCACCCTTATGTATCCGAGTAAACACCGAAATTTGCTCGAAACACTGTCAGCAATGACTCGGTTATGACCATTTATTCAATCTTTCAGTAGAATTTATCACTTGAAACGCTGTTTCGAACGAGCTAGGATTTAGCGAGGTCTAAAGGAGCATTCAAAATTGCCCGACGAATTCCTCGCACGAGAGAACACATCAGAAATTCGCGTTACACACTGTGTAAGCTGTCGAGCGAGTTTGACCGCACCTCAAGGGTTACGACGTGGACGGTGGAAGCTCAACTTCCGGCGGTAATAAAATATTTGGCTGTCAGGAATACAGCTTCCAGCTCAGCCGGTACTTTATGTCTGTGCTCGAACTTTGCATTCCAAGAACGGTAAAAACTTAAATTCTTCTTATCTTGGATGCAGATTATTCAGTGCACAACCGTATCTTTCTTGAAACTTTCCTTTTTCTAGTTTCAACTATCAGAGATCACACACAGTTCCGCGTTGAAAAGCGGTCTGACGTCGCGAAAGAGAGTAAAAAGGGGATGCAACGACAGTCGTGGAGACAAGGGGAAGGCAAGGCGATGAAGTGCAACGATGCGCGCTAGATTGGCCGGCACTTTCAGAGATATGAAATTATTGTTCGACCAGCAGCCCTTCTCGTCAAAGGATCGACTGACAAGCGATCTCGAACGAAGCACGACAGCTTGACTAATGCGGTTATACGTCGGCCCCTCGCAATCTAACCAAATGAAATACTCCCACTCGCAGAAGGAGCTGATGTCACGAAATCAAAGTTCCTCCCTCTTCCCTATCCCGGCTCCCTTCTTTCTAACGAAGAAATCATCTTTCCTACCGCATCAGCGAGAAATTCTTTTCCTCCAGCTCGCGCCGTTCGACAGAGAGTAACTTGTTTCTTACCGCCGTTCAATTTCGTCTAATTGAATAACGCGCTGCTACGTCGAACCTTTTCGCGTATTAGCTCGTGGGGACAAGAGTGATCGGGTAATTTCCTTGTTTTATGAATCGGAACGATCTGTTATTGTCAGGAGCCTCGATTGCAGAAGGCTAATTAACCCTTTCAGTAATCACTAACACGTAAATTAAATTATCGACTATCCTTTGTGGATTCAAAGAAGGTACAGGAAGGAAAGATGCATTAGTGTTATTAATGATTGACAGAACTGAGCTGTGTTTCTTATCCGAAGTGTGACCAGCACTTGAGAAAATTGCAATAGACAACGAAATACAGGGAGAGGAATGACAAACGTCAGACTTCGTCAACGAAGGCCTTTGTGCATCCGTCAAGCGAGCTGCCAGATGAACAACAAAGGGAAAAAACATATAGGGCGAAGCAAGCTGACGGTTGACCCAGCCAGCTCATCAGTGCCGACACGGAAAACAGATGTTCTAATAGATACCAGCGAAATGAAAACTGTCAAAAATGCTTCTGTTTCTGGGAAGTGTACTGTAGGATGCCGGCGGAAAAATTATGGCATTTCGTCTCGGAAACCATCCACTAGAACTCGTCAGTGGACGGCCCCTGCCCTACACGCCTGGATTCTATATTCTCAGATCTTATATAATAAATTTATATATATCGACAAGGCCCCTGATAGAGCACTTGCGAGAAAGGATGGAGTTACACGCGCGACACCTTGCGGCCATCACAGGAAAGGCCCAAGGTGCCTGGGACGCCACGTTTCGCTCACAAATCCCCACAGTATAGAAACAAAGAGAAAAAGTAGATAATTGTTATTCCTTTTCAGGAGAAGCTCGTGAGAGCGATAGCTGGATGGCACGATCGAATTTCGCGATTCAATGGAGAAAGTCAGATCGCTAGCGCGATTTATCGCTGCCTAGTAACCGTCAATCTGCTTGCGAACGTGGAGCAAGTATAATTGGTAGGGCCTAGGCATCCTGGCTGTGTTTAGCTACCTTTTGTGGGATCAAGGTATTACCACGACCGGTACTACCGTGCCATTGTTATCCGGTTGCACGGGGTGGATTTCATTGTGACTCCTGATCGGGGGCCGGCAGCCTCCGAAACACCGGAAGTTACGGTCCGGTGTTTGCTGTTAAATTTTAGCGCTCAATAAAACACCGGCTCCAACCGACGGATATTTCATTCCAGGCGTTGTTTCCCGCGAACGAGAATTTCGCTCGCCAAGTAATCTCCTCTTGCAATATTATGAATGAAACTTTGAATATTTAACTTGCTTACGACGTACTTCTGCAATTATTTTGAAGGAAATATAGAGGGCTATGACGGTCGA